TAGGCCTTTCTTTCCCAAAAAAAACTCCTCCAAATAACTCGAGCATAAAATCGGTCCACCGCAAGATGAATGAGGAGCCAAAAAGTAAGTTTTTGCCAGTAAAAAGCCCACAAAATATTGAAAGGAGATGTTTGGCGAAAAAAATGATTCAAAAGTTGTTTAAAATGATTTAGAATCACTTAAATCGATAACGCTTAGAGTTCACGTGGAAACGCGCGCTCCCTGGGCTACTAGCTCGATTCTAAGCATCGGAAAGTTCGATCTGGAGCACACACAACACTTTCAAATAGATAACTGGCAAGGTTTTTTCCAAAAATAATTCCACAAGTACAACAGCGACGACTCTGAGCAAATTCCCATCGCTAAACCACTGTAAATTGATGTTTAATAAAAGAAATGGTCAATCTGGATGTCACAGCAGATAAACAAAACCTCGAAACAGGTAGAAAAGGGAAGGCGGAAAAATTTTAAACTCAAGAAACAGAGAGGAGCCGCTCCTCAAAAAAAAAACGAGAGAAAAGCAAAAAAAAAAAGCCAACTCATGAAAAGGCCCGGGGGGATTTTGGGGGAGGGATGAAAAGAAAAGGAAAAATGACAGGATTTGTCGGTGGAAAAGGGAAAAGGCCAAAAGGGAAGGGCCAAAAGGAGGCCCCTCCCAATGAGAAATCCCCTCCAGAGTCACCAGTTTTGAAGCTATCACAATTCCGCTTGCGGATTCGGATTCTCCATCAAAAACTGACTTGTAAAAGTGAAATTTTCAACCAAAGTTGTCAATGGAAATTTTTGTAAAAAATGACTTAAAGTAAAAATTAATATTTTGAGAAGAAATTTCGAGGAAAACGATTGGAAATGCATTCAATAACAAATCCTCTATGCAATCTGGATATCACAGAAAATTTTGCGCTAAATCTTTGATAAATCTGATATATGCACCAGTTGGCCAAGTGGTTAGCGCGCTCGGCTCTAGGGCGAGCGCTTCAGGGGGTCGCTGGTTCGACTCCTGCCATCGTCTAACTCTTTGCATTTTATTCAAAAAAGGTATTTGAGTCGGTTTTTTGAAAAAATGGGTAACAAGTTAACGATGAGCGAGAGAGGCGGAAAGGGCCAAAGGGAGGGCTTTTGGCCTCCGGTGTTCTCACGACGCAATCCCTTCTTTTCCCGTTTTCCCTCTTTTCTTCGTTTCTCTATTCCTTTCGCTTTTGTGTGCTCCAACTTGCTCTTTTTCTCCTTTTTGCAGAGTTTCAACTTGATGAAGAGGCCGAGAAAAGGCGGCTTTGACAAAACAAAGCCCGCCAGCGTTGAAACTCTTTAAAAATGGTGGCAAAATGGTGGCAAAATGGCGATTTATGAATTGAGCATGATTCTCCTCCATCTCCATCTCCATGTACATCTCCAAAGAAGTGTTTCAACGTCTAGAATCAAAATAATCTAATGGTCCAAGGCCCCTGGACCTGGCGCTTGGACCTGGCCCTGGCCTGGAGTGAGGTGCGTGAGGGAAAAGTTCCCAATCTAGTTCCTATTTTTTTATGAGTTTCTTGCAGTGTGGGGTTTAGCGTAGCGAAATCGGACACTTGACGGTTTGATCTCCAACTTCACACTTCGTTAACTCTCACTAGTTATTTCGAGTAAAGATCTGCGACTGTTTATCTAAGCACTTCATAATGCACCAATCCTTTCGAATGCCACTATCCATTAGACGATCTAGATCTCTATAAGTCTATAAAGCCAGTTCAAACAAGATCACGAGCCATTTCAAAACAGCCTGGGGGGGGGGCGGGGGCGGGGGCCGGGCTCAGGCTTAGGCTCAGGCTTAGGCTTAGATTTGCGGGGCTTCAGACTCCGAATCGGAGGGGTGTCAGACTTGGTTTCAACGATTCCGAGAGGGAGACGAGACTTTGAAAGATTCGAGAGCACGGTTCGAGGTCAGAAGTCGTGAACGAAGCCAAGCTGAGGGACGTTATTCAGGCCAATCCATGCCAATCGGCTCGAGATCTTGCGAAAATATTCCATTGTGATCATGTCACCATCGAACGCCATCTTTTTTTGAATTTACCGTCAAATCGGCAGTTTCTTTTGCAGCACCCTAATAGAACTGCTATCAATCGGAAAAATTGTTTCATTGGAAAGTCAAGAATTTCAGCTTTTGATTGCTATTTTATATTTTATTTTGATATTTTATTTTTATTTATATTTTATTTTGATACTTTATTTATATTTTATTTTTATTTTGATATTTTATTTTATTTTGATTGCTTTTAATGAACATTTATCTAAGCGAGAACAACGACTGATTTAAATTCGACACCGACTTCTCCGCAAATCATGGCCAATTTTTGCCTGGATGTATCTTGTTGAACGATTGGCGATTAACCAGAGCAAAGTTATTCTTTAAAGACGCATGAGGCAGACTTCTTTTTTACAATGCCAAGCCACGTGTGAAATCATGCCAACAATGCGAAAATCGTGTGAAATCGTAGAAACCAACGAAGCTCGGTAAATTAGAGAAATTAGATTAAACTAGAGCTCGGTAAATTTTGCTTGCTCGTTTAATTGAAACTTATTTCTTTCCTTTAGATTGTGTGGTCCGATGAAAAGAAATTTAATTATGATGGTCGAGATGTCAATCGAGACTATTGGCACGATTTGAGAAAGGACAAACTTCATTTTTCTGAGAACCAAGATAGGCGACGTGATGGTGTGGACAAGTTTTTTTCGACAGGTCGATTTAAATTCGGCTTTCGTTCCGAAGAGAAGCTGAATTCACTGCAATATTGTACAGCGTCGATCTCTTTTACAATTTTGTCGCCGAAATCAACACCGAAACTTGGTAGCGATGCAGGACAATGCGCCAATTCATGCTAGTCTTCGCTTCGGCTTCGACAAAATCAAACAGCACTTTTTGTCTGACCAGCCAACTCTGACCAACCATCCGATCTCAATCCACAAGAAACCATCTGGGGATACATGGTTCACAAGATTTACGCCAAGAACAAGCAACACGCAAACCAGCAATAGCAATACGAGATGTGAATTCCCTCAAGAAATCGATCGTCGAGACTTGAGACACTGTGGATCAAAAAACCCATTGATAACCTCGTTTTGCGCATTTTTCCTACTATTCTATGCCAATTTGAGCCAATCTCGTACCCAGTCAGGAGTCAATCCCCATTTCGGAAGTAGCAAATCCAATTAGACTAACCTATCACAGGTTTTCTCCTTCCTCAGCAGTGCCATTTGTTCCTTTTGGCAGTCGCTCTTCAAAATTTCGAAAGGGATTTTCTTAAAAGATCACAAAAAAAGACAAAAGGAGAGTTGGTGCTTAATCCTAGAGAGACATTACACAAAAAAAAGGGGGAAAGAAAGGGACCTTTCCGGTGACACGACTCAATTTTCTGACTTTTGTCGAGAGGGCCATCAAAGTGGGGGTGTTGTCAGTTTTTTGTCGTTTTCAAAGAAGATATCCCAGGTTTTTTTGGCTTGTCTGCCAATTTAATGGATTCCAAGGAATTTAGAGGGTTTTAGTTTCAGTTTTGAAGGCACATCGTGTTGCTGGCGAGTACTTTTGAGGCTAAAAGCCAAAGCTAAAAGCCAAAGCTAAAACTTTCCATAAACCCGAGTAAATCCAAAAATACCCGAAGATGTATCTCTGTAAATCAACATTTCCCACCAAAATCACTGTAACTTTTGTACGATATCTGCGCGTATTTCATAAAAAAACTCTAAAAATAGCACACTTTGTTGCCGAAACGCTTAGCGACGAGAACAAACGGAAAATAAAGAAAGGAAATGAATAAAAAAAAAGAGAGAGAAAAGAAAGAAGATATAAATGACAATCGTAATTGAAGAGGGAAAAACGTCGGGGAAAAACGAAGAAAAAAATTGTTCGTTTTTAAAGAGAAAAAACCAAATAAAACGCGTGAATTCTTTACAAAACACCAGTATTTTTGTTAAAAAGAAGGAAATTTTGAGAGAAGGGGGGACTGCAAAGATTAGTGAATTTTTAGATTTTCAGGAGAAATCCTGTAAAATTATAGTACACAATAGCCAAAAATAGTGACCAAAAAAGAAATTATCAACGGGGATCGCGCAAATTTGCATTTGAAAGGGGTGAAAACGCAAAAAAGAAAAAAACGTGTAGATTTTGGGGGAAACCGTAAGATGAGATCCAGTCGTGAACGCGCTCAGAAAACATAAAAATAGAGAGACATTACATAAAATACAATACAAATATCGATTTGGATATGCAAATTTTGGGATTTTTGAGATTTTCCGGCACTTAACATATGCATCAAATTGCATTTTAACTGCTATTTTCTCTTATACAAGTGCCGGAAGAGGTCAAAAATATCAAAATCCATATCCGCATTTAAATTTAAATATGCAAATTTGCATATTCAGTTTGTAAATAACGAGAGTTTCTTGTGTTCTACGGCCGAAAAACGTGACAGATCCGCGAACTTTGACAAAATTTCCACTCATGAACCCAATGAACAATGAGCGAATCCGTACGTTCTCCGTCATAATGTAGCTAAATTTCCAAATTTTCCATCAAAAGTAACCCTATTTTAGGTAGGATTTTGTGTGAATTTCAACGAAATCATAGAAATGATAGGAGAAATGAAGCAAAACCACAAAAAAAATAATATATGCAACGCTTGAACCGGTTTGCGACTGAGTTAACAATTTTGTTTGTCTTTGAAATGAAAAATTCTCAGGGGAAAATGCGTAGCTTTCAGGAAATGAACGAAAAAAAACGGATTAGTATACACATTTAGGGCGGGAAATCGGGAAAACGACTAGAATAGGGTTTTGTTTGTAAAAACATTGATAATGATGGTTTTTGAGAGGGAAATCCTGATGTTATTAGTGTAGTTAAAAGGGTAAAAGAAAGAAAATCCCACAAACAGCTCAAAAAAAGGAAGCCTAGTTGTTGAACAAAGTTTTCCTCATTAAGAATTGCTCGTAGATTAAACCAGCAAAAATAAATTTGCTTCACTTCAATTGGTCGTCTTGCCGGGAGCCAAAAGATGAGAGCCGAATTTGTCGCCAAAATGCTGAGAGATCGGATTGAGAGAATATTCGGCCGATGAACCCGATGGAGGGCGGGGCATTCCTGAAAAAGAAAAGATCATTTAGATAGATGGATGAGGTAGAAGTTGCAAAAAAAAGTAAAACCTTGACCCAAACGCGTAATCAAAACAACCTATACCTTATGAAAAACTTCAAAATTTCTCTAAGTTCAATTCAGTCACTAAAAAGCTTTCACTGTTCTTGAAAAACAGGATATTAAAACTTTTCTGATTCTAAAGGGAATGTGTTGGTTCTGAAATCTATATCCTATTTGACGGCCCTTCCTTTGAACAAACAGTAAGGTCTCTACTTTTGAAACAGTATGAAGCTTATTCTACGTGAATAGACTCTAGAATAGAAAAGATCGATCAAAACTCACCAAGAGGACTATGCGTGTCGAAGAGATGATGCTCGCCGGTTGGTGATGGAGCTGGCGATGATGCAAACGAGTAGGGCCTAAAATGAGATTTTAATTACTGAATAGACCAGACTTTCCCTTCAACATTCAACGTTACGAACTTTATTTAAACGCACTTTGTCACACAAGTTGTGTATGCAGCACAACTCATCTTAATACAAATTCTCATTCAAATGCACTCACATATTGTTCATATAGCTAGCGGCCATGATGTGATCATAAGATGGTGGAGCCATTCCACCACTTCCACCGCCGACAGACGCATGCGAGAGTGGCAGAGCTTTCTCGGCGACACGAAGTGGTGGCGATGGATTTGTGGGTGCCTGTGGAGGAGTTGCTTGAGCCGAGATCGCGCGGGCCGACTCCAATTGACCTGAAAAGGAAAATATAAGCTTTTACAATGTTTACTTGGTCAGAATGGCCAAAGAATCTTTTCTTACAATATACTAATGCGAGTAATTAGCTAAAAATCAATGAAAGTCAGGTTAATACTATTAGGTTGGTGAATAAGTCTTTTCGCTCCTTTTCGTACTTCCGTTTAAAACCAACAAATGCACCAATTGAACTCCAGTTTGTTTCATTTGAAAAGCCAATTTTTTTTTCTGCAAAATAACATTCAAAAGGGGGTTAAAATGTCCTATGTCTGAATTTTTTCGGGAGCGTGAAGTCGGGCAGTCAAAAAAGGGCGACAGCTCGATGATGCAGTTTAGACACTTTAGCTAACCCATCATCGCGTCAATAGATAACAGATAGAGCGCAAAAAGTTAGGTATATAGCCAAATTTTCAGAGAAATTCATGTATCCAATTTCCCGTAGAGGTTTTTATAGATTTTTACCAAAAAAACACGTTTTCACTCTCGAATTTGCTCGAAAGTGATCCCAAATTGACTTAAAAAGATGGGAACAATAAACACTTTTTATTAGATTGGCAAGAAAGTTCTCGGAAAAGTTTGCACGGTGATTTCTCAAAAACCAAGCCATGAATTCTTTCCAGATTTTTTGATAAACTTGACTATATTTCAGAGTTTTTAACAAAAAAAAAATCAGAGTGGGCTTCAGGTAAAAAATAAGAGATCTCTTCAGCTGAAGTGACTTGGTCACTTTTTGAGTGACCAGTCTTTAGACAAATTTTTAATGGCTTAATGAGTAGGCAATGGGTTTCATACAAAACCTAAAATGAAGTACCTAAAATAGGGAAAATTTGTGATTAAGGCAAATTTTATCTAATGCTTTAACTTTTTAGAATTACCTATTTTAGCAAACACACTCAGTGCCGAGAAGATAACAAAAAAAATTAATTTTTGAAATACAGCTTCTCTGCAAAAACAATTTTAGCCAAAAAAAGATTTTAGAGCGTATTCATGTGTAAACCCATTTATGCTAGCTTTACCTCATAAGGAATTGTTTTTCTGGCGCAAAAAGTGAGTTGAATTTAAGCTGAAAAATAATAATTTTTCAAAAATCTAAAATTTTAAGGGAAAGCTGCACTCATTTTTTTTACGAGTAATTTCTTGGAGTCGACTTGTACTTGTAAATAATAGAACAAAATGTTCTTGAATTGGTGGATTCGTTTTTAAGAAATTCCAGTCAAACTTTTTCCGAGAACTTTCTTTCCAACCTAATATTTAGAGCAAACCATAGGTTTAATTGGTGAATTTGCTATTTCTCAACGGAAGTATATGAAAACGAACGAAAAGACTTATTCACCAACCTAATGTCGTAACCGCAAAAAGCTAACCTTGCAGCTTGTGATTTTCCGATTTCGCCTCTCCGAGTGCACGGAACAACTCCAACTTCAGCTTATTCTCGGCAGCCAACGCGTCCTCCAAATGAGCATTCTTCTCGCGAACTATGCGCAATTCCATGTGTAAACCCTGAACATTGGAACATTTAAAAAAATAAAAAAAATTTCCACCTCAACATCGTTCTTTTCTTTGTACTCGCGCAATTGTTGAAGATCCCGCTGCATTGTCATCAAAGCATCATCTTTGGCCGCACATTCAGTACTAAAATCAACGAATTACTCAAATTGGGCTTGATGTTGTTATAGCGTGTTTATGTCAATATCTACGTTTTAAGCCTAAAATTTACCGTAAACGATCAGCTTCGGCCTCGAGTCGAGCCTCTTTTTCACGTTGTTCCTGTGAAATGTCGGATCTGAAAGAAGCAAATTTGAATCCAAAGTAAACTTAACTGCTAAAGACCACATAAACAAAAACCCCCACCGATTCTTGTTCTTATTGTTGTCCTCTTGCCGCTGGCGTCTCTCCGCTTGTAGCTCTTTCTCTACATCATTTTTCCTGTTCATCAACTCGGCGTATTTTTTCTCCAGCTGCCCGGCGCTCGTTCGTTCCTGATCGCGTACCTTCTCGACGCTGCCGAATCTGGAAAAGGAGTTTGAACACCAAAGTTCTAGTTGTACGCCCACAGCTACTTTGTTTAAAACCTAAATTTAAGCCCCACAGCTTCATTCAAGACTAAATCAAGCCTAAGTCACAAAGTACAAGCACTGGACTTCATTTGATAAATCAAACCCCCTTACCTAGCTTGCAGTTGTTCGAGTCGTGAGCGAAATTGCGTGGCCTCGGCCTTGGCTCGAGTGGTGTCATTTTCCGAGACGCTCAACTGAAGACGAAGATCCGCCTCGACATCTTTTGCCTGACGCAACTCGGTGCGGACACGAGACAGCTCGACGTCACATCTAAAATGAAGAAAATAAAAATAAAATTACACTATTATCCGGATATAATTGTAAGTCTAGGCTTAATCGCTAGACTCTCCTTACAATTTTTTGCTTCCCAATCAACTCACCCCTGTGCATGATTGTTGTTCTCCCTCGTCTCCTCATTGATCGTTTCCCTTGACGGTCCTCGACTATCGGTTCGTCGATTTTTGTGATCAACACTGTCCTCTCTCTTTGCGTGCCCATTCGTCAGTGATGAAGAAATGGCCGAAGCGACGACAAGAGGCGATGCGGCAGCTGGAGTCGAACCGTTTGCTCGACCCTTCTCGTCCGCCTAAAGTGATAAGTAAATTGAAAAATCGTAATACAATCAGTCAAGTAGTTGGTCAGAAAAGCCAAGCCACAAACCTGTGTCTGACTAGACGCTTTTGCTTGTTGACTAGATTTATTCTGGCCTCCTCCGCCTTTCTTTCGCCCTTGTGCAGCTGTTGTTGTCGCTCGTTGCTTTGTGTTCTCCATCTGGTTTCGATTCGTCTGAAGGCAAAAGAATTATTAAAGCTCGACCATGTTAATCGATTGAAAACAACCATTAACTCACCCTCTTCTTGTTGTTGTCGTCATCCTCGATCGAGCTATCATCGTCCTCTTCATCCTCGTCATTGTATGAGCTTGCATCTTCTGCATCAGCCGGCGACTCGGTCAACTTTTGTACCATCTGAATTTTTAAATTAGTAATTTAACAACTATTGGTAACAACAAATCAGAATTAGAACTCACCATCACCATCCAATGGAATCCCGACCACAACATTTGGATTAAACCGCCTCTTCGCGAGTTTTCCTCCCAGCACGGCGAATTGCCCGCCGTCGTTGCATTCGTGATTTGGGACGAGGCTAAAAAAGAAAGTCTTTAGGTCTTTGGGTAATTGTCTTCTTGTAAAACGTTAAGCTTTTAGTCATTTTAAGCTTCAAAAGCTCAAGTTCACCAATTATTTTCATTATTGAACTCTGTAAAATCAAGGACACAGCGATTCTTGACTGAATTGATCTATCTCTTCCAAAGTCACCTTCTTGTTTGCCGGCTCGTGCCTCAGGCGGTGTCCTTTGTGTGATTCCGTCTTGTTTTTCTTTTCTCTTTCGACCTTTCGTCGTTGTCGTATTCCCAGCGGGTCGTATCGATGTTTTCCGATTGTTCGCCGTTGTCGTCGTGCCACCAGAAGATGGAGCGGCAGATGAAAGAGCTCCTAAAGATAAACAAGTTTATAGGTCTGACTTATAAGACTAACTAAAGAGTGTCTTACCGTTTGCAACTCCATTCGCATTCGTGGCCGGCAACAACATCGGCACATCGGTGGGACCGTTTAGCTCGTAATCTAAAAATTCGAAATCAAGGAAAAATAGCACAAAAACTCACCCAGCGACTCGGCCTCCAAGCGATATTGTTTCGGACCCTCGTAGACGGCCGGTAGCGCCTCGGTCAAACATTTATACAGCACCTCATTTTTCTTCGCCACATCCTCTTGCTTTCGCCTCAATCGCCATTCTCTGAAAATGAAGAAAATAATGGTGAAAGTGGCTCGTTCAAAATTTCTCCAAAAAGCACTCACTTGAAATAATATCGCAAACTGAACGAGATGATCACAAGTGGATACCCAATGCAGTGAGCACCGAAGAATTCATTCATCACTCGCGGAAATACCGGCTAAAATTTATCGGTTAGTAGAAGGAACAATGAACAACAATCTATAACACTATGTAACAACCCATACACATGCACAACAATCCTTACAAAACTCCCTTCCCGGCAAAAATTAATGCAAAGGAAAAAAGTTTTCAACACATAAAAAATACAGAGGTCAGAGAAACAAAATAATTACACAAAAAAAGAACGGTTGTCCAGAATGTCGTCCACGATTTGGCCTTTTTTATCATCGCCTTTGTGAGTAAGAAAGGAAAGAAATTCACCCTTTTTCTGAGCAGCGGAACGGGCGGCTTCTCTAAGAGCAGTAATGATAGCCTCCGCCGAAACACCAATCAAAGACTCGATTTGATGGGCCTTGTGCTCGGAAGCCTGTTTAGATTTCCCAAGCCCTGATACCCTGATAAAAACACATTGGCCATCATCAACAAACTGTTTCTTGACGTATTGATAAAATTCTTCCGACTTTTCGCCTCTCTTTCGCACCTTTCTCTCATCAACACTCAAAATGGTACCGACCATTTGTTGGTGTCGGCGAAGTCGATCATGCCTCCGAGTTCCACCAGTCATCCCTATGTAAAGAATGTTCCATTGTCGAATATCGGCGGGAATCGGTTCCATGAATACAGCGTAAACGTATCTCCCTCATTCGACCATGTGCTGAGAGAAACATGCATCGTGTGAAAGTGATGGCTCCTCCTCGGGCCGGGATCCAATGTGCTCGTCTCCTCGAAGTCCTTTCGAAGATTTATTACCACATGAGAGATTAACCAACGGACATAGACATAAAGAATAACGAACAAGTAAACGTTATGCATGTGCGAGTCTCATAAATGCTCAATGTTTCTGAAAAAAAACCAACGTACCGCCATCCCTTGCACTTGGTGACAACCTAAAGAAAGGTATTGTTAAACAATCGCAAAGGTATCACCTAGTGAGAAAGCTCAAAAAGTAGCTCAGAAACCCAGAATTAAAGTAAATTAAAGACCCGTAATGCCAGGTCTTTTGGGTCTGGTTTCGTATCTTAATATCGAGCTAATACCATACGTCTTTTCTAGCTAACCAATCAATTAATCACTTACTAACGAGTTGCGAGTGTGAGACCCCAAAAATGAAGCCCAGCGGCCCGTCTCGACTCAACGCCAGATAGTCGCACCTCAACCGGACAGATACCTAGAAATTGAGCATACTCCTGAAAAGAAGAAACCCTTTTACCTCTACAAAAATAAATAATCCCCATAGAAATATGATCGGAGCACCCTGCGATCGATCCGCTGAAAAAGGTAAAAGTTTATCACGTTGTAAAACCCTCCAACTCACCTAACATACTAGACACGGTGCGCACGAAACCGCCATTCGTGTGCCACACGAGGTTTAGCCACACATACGTGCTGGCGATGAATATCAAGAATCGCACCTAGGATTTGATCATTTAAAGCCTTGTTCATCAATCACAAACCGGTATGAATAACCAACATATCAGATCGGATGTCGCCGTCACGCAGATAAATATTATTGACATTTGCTGAAAGAAGTGCATATAACCATGACATTCATGAAAGAATTTGCCGATTCTTTTTTAAAAAATAAGTCATTTACTCCTTCTGGGCTAAATTGAGCCAAAGGCAATGGAAAAACCAGCGCTGAGTTAAAAGCAACTACAGCTTTTTTTATACACGCCTACAACTGGAGCAATTACAATTCTATTGTTTTAATTCTAGAGCAACTACAATTCTATTGGAGTTTCTATACTTTAACAATTCGATCTTGTGTTAACTAACCTACTGAGAACTTTGCAGTTAAACTAGAGCACATTTTAAAGCAACTTTATCCATCTCTAAACCAACCGCATTGTTGTGATTGGAGAGAGCGACGACGGCATTCCCACTGCGATGCACGGCCTCGAAGATGGCACGCAAGAAGAGCCAGAATGGCCACAACAATTCGAAGCGGAAACCGACCTGGAACAAAATAAAATTAGAACAAATGATTGACAGTTTAAACTCACCAAAACGTCGAGCGAGATCATCGTCAACCACAAAAGACACAAACGCAAATAGGCTAGTCCCGAAGACATTCTGGAAAAATGAAATTTATGCTTGTGGTATGCTGTGGAATGCTATTTGAAATGTTCTCATAACTAGTTTACTAAAAATTGTGAAAACAGCTCAATTTAGCAATCAGATTTGAATCTGAAATAGTGCTAGATAACTAGATTGGATCTCTTTACAACTTCAATCCTAAAACCTTGCTTTATACAGTCGTATAAAGCTTTAACCTTGCTTTATACAGTCGTCAAAAAAGTCTTGGCCGGTCAGTGTTGGTCCATAGATTACATCCAAATATATTGACCACGAATAGTTTTATGTACTTTTAAAGGTTGTTAAAATGAACCATTTAGCTTTTCGATATCCTTTGAAATAAGAATTTTATGAATTTTATTTGAGCATGGTTTGTATTTCTGTATGTAAACCATGTAAACCAAAATCTGTATTTCAGAAATGAATGGATCCCATTGAAAACGGTTCCAATTATAATGGCACTGGATCGTTTATTACTTATTTATTCATTTTGCTCTGGTGAAAATGAAAGGCTACTGGCAGTTTTGAAGCCTTGAACAAAATCTGGGAAAGATACTTTTCCTGCTCTTCATTTTTAAGCTTTACGCCTAAGCCTAGCAACATTGCAGAAGCAAAACTCTAGCTAGCTTATCAAAATTTCAATAAAAAATTGCTTAAAACGTTCTAGAAATGTTATCAATAGATTAATCATGCTTGATTACCCCAGAAAAAATAAAATAATGTTGGTAAAATAGTCAAAAAATACAATCTGACTAAATCAGGTCAGAGTGGCCCCCGGAGTTTATTAGTGCCGACTTTTTTGACGACTTTTGTGACGACGATCGGCTTTGTGTTCAATCACAAGGCGGATTTTACGCAAATCTTTAAACAAACTACTTTAAATCTGAGCTAACGAGCCTGAGTCTGAGCTAACGGTCACTTAACATTAAGAGTCACTAGCGCTCAGTAGCAATTACAGGCTTAGGCTTGCACAGAGCTTTTTGGAAGGTTAGGGCAATTCTAGAAACAAAAAAAGGTGAAACGTTGAAGATACCGTAAATACTGTACTAGTACCCCACCCCCCTCGTACAGTCGCGTAGTCGCAAAAGTTTTTTAGTATTTCATTTTTTTCAAAGCGCCCATACTTTCAAAAAATGCGTCTTTGGTATCAAAAAAAATAGCTGAAATTCAGGGCTATTTTTTGATATTTAAGCGCACATTGTAGCAGAAACCAGTGTCGAGAAAAACTCGTTCAAAGCTAGACTACGCAATGCTCCGCTACCGTCATTATGGGGGTGGGGTACTATTACAGTATTTACGGTAAGCTTTGTTTGATCGTTGATCGTTACCAGAGCGTCAATAACCATTAGCGAAGGCTCAAAATTTCATAGATTCTGGTTGAACACAGATTGAATCATTGAAAATCTCGGTACTTATGGAGATTACTGACCCCCGTCAGATCCAACCACTTTTTCTGAGGTAGCTTTTTGTGTAGATCACGAATTTCATAGTGGGAGCTTGTGGAAATGCGTTTTAGACCGACAAATCTTAAATAAATCTTAAATAAAGCTTAAATAAATGCCAAATTAAGAATTCACGCCATTAAAAATCCTAGAAGAAAAAATTAGCGCGCTCTGGCTCAATAGAGATGAATGTACACTGCTGTCCAACTATTATAGCACCCAGTAATCTCCATAAGTACCAATATTTTAAATAACCCTTACCCATCCTGATCAGCGATTCGTGTGCGCGCCTTGAAAGTGCGTCGGAGTTTTTGCGTTTCCACCGCTCGCGCCCTTTTCTGCATGGCGCCTGAAATGAAAAAGAATTATATTTAGCTTCATAAAACGTTCAAAAGGAAAGAATTCAATAGAAAATTGAATAGAATTCATTTAAAATTCAATAGAATCAAAGTTTTAACATAAAAGTTGGCACGTTTGGCAAAGCCAAAGCCAAGCCAACAGCTAATAAAAAAGCCAAGCCAACAACCGACAAAAAAGCCAAACCAACAGCCAAAGTTAGCCTCTTTTTCTGCTTAAGATGACGCGAAATATCTTAAAAACAGCAAAAGGATCATGAAATTTTAGCGATATCTCAAAAAATTTCAACAAAATGAATCAATATCGATTTTTTTCCACTGAAAAACCTCAATTTCCTATCATTTTCTAGTGAAAATTTGCAAAGTTACCCCCATTTTTACTCTAAATCCCCTAAAGACTTGTAAATTTTTGGTGAAAAGCACAAAATTTGCCAACAAATCGTAAAATCCAATAGCGGTAAACACGAAAATTGCGAAATGTTCGAGAAAATTCGAGAAACTTTCTAATATACTCAAATTTTCGATGAGAAAAAGATATTCAGTTATTTAGTTGAAACGGCTAGAATTTAAAGATATTAGGCTCTTTGTCAAAATTTGGGTATAAATAAGGAAATTTCGCTCAATTTTTCATTTTTCGCTCAACTTTTCGACTTGTTAGCTCAAAAATTCGAGAAATCGATCACGTGAGTTTCTTTTTTCTCATTTTTGGCACAAATTTTTATTGCATCGAATCGATCCAGCTGCGGGTGTTTGTTGTTTTTACAAAATACGGTTCCTATTTTGATATTTCCAATACGGTTCCAATACGGTTTATATTTTGATCTAATACGGTTCCAATATTCAATTTTGTCAAAAATTGAATATTTTGTATGTCATTTTCTCAAAAAAACACTCATCAAATGGCCAAAAATAGCAAAACTTTAACTGTAATTTAAGTTTTTAAAAGAAAACAAACAAGCTTTACACAAAAAAAGTACCGCTTTAACGCAATTTAGCAATTTAGCAATAAAAAAAAGCAACTTTAGCGATAAAATCTGCCAGCTTAGCTTAAAGCTGGCAGATTTTATCGATTTGCCAAGTTGTAAAAAAAATGATTCCTTTTCTCTACAAATACTTTAAACTGAACTAATTAACTTATCTATTACTAATTTATACTTTAATATCATTTAATTTATACGATAACTATAACTATTGGGTTGGTGAATTGAAAACTGCCGGCTATTGTCATATGTCACAATTTGAGCACTTTCTTCAAAAGAAACCCATTCTGGTGTCAATGGAAAAGTTGTAGAGAATCAAAAATGAAGCTTATATCCAAATTTTCAGAACGATTCAAAAACGGGTTTTCGAGAAATGCCAAATTTTACGAATTTTCACAAAGCTTGCATTTTAAGCGAAACCACTAAGTGTATCTTTTTGAAAATTTGGCTATAAGCCTAATTTTTGATTCTCTACAACTTTTCCATTGACACCAAAATGGGTTTCTTTTGAAGAAAGTGCTCAAACGGGGACATCTCCAGACCTCCATTTTTGAGTCTCACACACAAACCAAAATCCTATTACGAAAGAGGAATCCGCAAATTGCCTGTAAAATGGGCACAAGTCGTCAATTATTAATAATAATAATAATGGAAATTATTTGGAATGAATTCATGGTTTTATGTTGAATAAATTTTAGTTCAAAGTCCCGCAGTTTTCAATTCACCAACCCAATAACTTATCTATCTATAACTAATTTAAACAAATTATCAGTCAAACGATTGCACCACTTGCTAAAACAATTCCAAACAAGACAAAGTCCTCTCAAAAAAAAAACAAAGAAATGAAGTAAAACTAAGGCAACAATGGGGGGAAAGCCGTGTGCGATAAGAGTGCAATATAAATGAACGATCGACCAGGGGGAGGACTGATTCCGGGGTAAATCTCACCAGGGACAGCCCTAGTCATCAGTAGACGTTCCAATTTGAGCTAGAGCAGTGGCTTTTTAAAGTTTACGTAACCCAAAAGCGAAAGCTAAAACTAAAACCAAAGCTAGAACCAAAGCTAAAACCAAAACCACAGCTAATACTAAAACCAAAGCTAAGACTAAAACCAAAGCTAAAACTAAAACCAAAGCTAAAGCAAAGACTAAAGCTAAAACTAAAACCACAGCTAAAACCAAAGCTAAAACCTCAAACAGTATCCAACAAAGCTAAGTAACATAAAACAACAAGCAACAGCTTACAATTTCATTTAACAAAGCCGCAAAACAAAGCCAAGCATACAGCACAAATCGATACGTCAAAGCAAAACTAACTAGCCAGCTTCAACTATCGATAAAAGCTATCGATCAAGCTATCAAGCTATCGATAAAAAGATTTTTAACGAAGATTTTTACCTCCCAAACAGACTCAGCGCTCTAACAATTTTACAAAACGCAAAACCGGTACGTTAAAGTAAAATAGCATAACCAAAGCTTCAAGATCACCTGAGTGCATGCTAGAATCAGAAGAATAATAATTTTAATAACGCTTTAGCAAAGCTTAAAGCAAAACTAGGGCTAGCTTTACATTTAGCAAATTCACAGATTGCACAACTAATATTAGTAAACTAATAGTAAACCAATAAAGCAAAAATAATATGAGCAAAGCTTACAAACCATTTCTAAACCATTTCTAAACCATTTCTAAACCATTTCTAAACCATTTCTAAACAATTGTCTGCGATCAGAAGCCTCAAAAACCAGCTGAACTACGCTTTGCTTTTGTTGAACGGCAAAAGTAGGAATATCTTCTCATTTAACAAACTTTACAAATATAAAGAGCAGAAAACCAATAGGTTAAAGCAAAACTGACACAAGCAAAGCTTTAGATCACTTTAATGCTTGCTAAAACCCCTTTGAGAAACAATTTTCTCAACCAAGGGAACAAATCTGGGCGGTTGAGGGGTTGGCTCACAAACATACAGAGATCTCGAAGTCAGAGCCGATGGGGGCGAAGAAAGAGAGGGAAAAGAGAAAAGATCCCTCTGTGTGTATGTGAGTGTGTGTGAATCGATAGGGCGCGCGACGGGACATCTCTGGGAAAAGAAAACGAGGGGGGGAAAGGGCGGAGGACCGCCACAGACACGCATCGCATCTCTGCGAATTGCGGGCACATACTGGTCCCAAGAGGTGCGGAAATATAAGAAAATGAGGGAAATGGGAAAGAAAAATGGAAAGAAAAGAAAATATTAAAGAATAGAGAAAGTTATCGAAAGGAAAATTGTTATAGAACTAAAATAGCCAAAGAAAAATTGACTATTGAGCTAAACACTAGTTAAAGTTTTAAGAAAAATCTTCTATAGCAATATAGGAAAATTTTTCAAAGCAAAAAGCTATTTAGAGAAATTAACTTCAGAACAAAATTTTACGCAAAAAAAACTAACCAATAGAGCAAACTAGAGCAATAGAGCAAACTAAGCAATAGAGCAAACTAAGCAATAGAGCAAACTAAGCAATAGAGCAAACTAAGCAATAGAGCACTATAAATATTGGGTTGGTGAATTGAAAACTGCCAGCTATTGTTATATTTCACAGTTTGAGCACTTTCTTCAAAAGAAACCCATTTCGGCGTCAAACGAAAACTAAAACACGACGAAAGACTGAAAAATTCTTTGTGGCGGGGTCCTTTTATTGCGCCGGGTTACGGTAGTTTCCGACGTTTTGCGCGGAAACGTCTGAAAGGCAAAGTGTACGGTGGACGGTCCGAAAGGCATCTGTCGTCAGAATTTTATTATTTCAAGAGAGAATTCCTTTAAATTGATTTAAAGTAAAATGAAATTAAACCCAATTTGTTTAATTATTTGTTTAATTATTTGTTTAATTATTATTTTTAATTTATTAGGTTGGTGCATTGAAAACTGCCGGCTATTGTCATATGTGACAGTTTGAGCACTTTCTTCAAAAGAAACCCATTCTGGTGTCAATGGAAAAGTTGTAGAGAATCAAAAATGAGGCTTATATCCAAATTTCCAAAAAGATACACTTAGTGGTTTCGCTTAAAATGCAAGCTTTGTGAAAATTCGTAAAATTTGGCATTTCTTGAAAACCAGTTTTTGAATCGTTCTGAAAATCTGGATATAAGCTTCATTTTTGATTCTCTACAACTTTTCCATTGACACCAAAATGGGTTTCTTTGAAGAAAGTGCTCAAACTGTCGCATATGACAATAGCCGGCAGTTTTCGATTCACCAACCCAATATAATCATTATCTACGACTTTCTACCATCGATCTGCAAGCTTTCGGATCTCGTCCAAGTAACACTCCTTCGGATTTCTCGAATCAAAGAAGTCTTGGCAAGCTTCTTCAACTTCTTCAAATATTTCTGTTCCCAGCAATAGCTAATCAAAACTCGAAGCTCTTTTTCTTACAACCTCATCCGGAATACAAAGATCAAGATTGGTACAAAAATATAAGCGCAAAAAATCAGCAAAAAAGAAGTGCATATAAATTGAATTTTTCGTAGCCGAGTCAGAACTTTTTCTAAGTCAGAACTAATAACATTCCAAAAACAAGCAAAATTTCGACAAAATCAAGAGAACCAAAGAGAATCAAAGAGATTTTCAAGGCTTCTTTTTGGTCATAGCTTTCTTCTTTTCTCTTTCTCAGTGTATTCGCCCTTTCCCTGCTGTAAAGCCTACCAAAACTAGTCGATACTCGAAACGGAAACAAACCTTTGATTCAAAACTGGCCTTGACTAAAGGAATCAAGCTTCTAACTACCAAAATATCCATACCTCCAACAAATCTCAATTTACTGTACTTTATCCACAAAATACAGTTTTGCCAAGATTTCCAAGCAAGCTGAATATCCTAATCTAGACTGAATACCGTAATCCAGCTAATCTTAACTGAATACCTTAAACTAGACTGAATACCTTAAACTAGACTGAATACCCTAATCGAGACTGAATACCGTAATCCAGCTATCTAGACATCCCCTGAGCTGAACCAAATCCAAGTTATCGTAGTCAAGAATGACATCAAAGTGCACGAATTCGATGTATGCAAACACCCGAAAAACAGCTAAACTCAAAAATCACACGCTTTACACCAATGCCTACTGTACTCCCAGTACCTTTGACAACGATATCCCAAAACTATCGGCTTACAGTACTTTATCCACAAAATAATTTCCAAACCTTATTCTAATTTCCCAGCCTGATTCTAAGCTAAACCAAACTTTTTCCATTTCCCGTACCCTCACCACAAACAAAAGTCGTCACAACGATCTTTCCCACGGCTACAAAGCAAAAAAACGTTGAGTCATTCGATAGTTCTTGAATTCATAGCAAAGAAAAACAAAGTTCTAAAGTTCACCGGTGTGTGCCTAGGGTTCAACAATGAAAAGCTATTAAAAATCGCTGCCAGTGCGCAAGAAGAGGCGTTTATAAGCAAGAGCACAAAGTACACGTAATACAGAAAGCCGCAAAGTACTCAAAAATGATCCAACACTGGATTATTTCTGAGGCTAGTACCTAGTTCAACACCATGATCTAGCACTGAACTGTACCAGTGTAGCTGTTCATATCTCACTTTACAGTCTAATTACAGCATTCATAAGCTGCACTATAGCTCATTTACAGTACACTTGAAAGCGCGCGTTTACACGAAATCATGAAAAACGCTATATATAGACCAAAAGTTTTAGCTATAAATTTTGTCAAAGTTTCAAAAGAATCAAAGTCTATCGATTATTAGATTTTCCGAGTATAAGCCTCTAAAAGTCCAAAAGATAATGAAATTTGTTTTTTATTTTTATTCGTAATTCGGCGACAGATGAAATTTCCCGAGGAACACCTGTTAGGGAAACCGTTTGAAAAACCTAGAGACTATGTTGATGAGTTGATTGTTACTGTTTTTCGTACTGTAAAACGACCAAGAACACTGAACCTGACCCAGTTAAGGTAGTTTTTGCGAAAGGGGCACGCTTTAGAAAACGGATTAAACAAATTCGAGCACACACTAGCTTTGGGGGCCCACTTTGTTACAGTATTCCGTTCAATTGAGAACTTTAAAAGATTCTGAAAGACATTTAGTCGGCATTTTAAGTTAAAACAAAAAGGAAAACTCATTTTTTCAATAGGAAAACCCTCTTCTTTTTGCAAATTTACGATCAAAAGCCATTTTCTACTCAAGAGAGCAAAAAGAAAAAACCGAAACGGGGCGGCAAAAATAATTTCTTTTTTTCACGGGTAGAAGAAATTTTCGCCTTTTTTTTCCACTCAATCGTATAATTAGTTGCTGAGTCTAAAGAAAAGAGGGAAAAGACAAAAATGGAGTGAAAAGAATCGAAATCGAAAATCGAAAAGAAATTGATGGGAACAGAAAACAGGGAAATTTTCTTACATAGTTTTAGCATTTTGAAGTGCCAAAAAATACGCGACCACAAAAAACGGCCATTTTTTTTTTTCATATGTTCAAGCCAAATTTGATTTATTTATTCAATCTGGAGCTCATGTCAGCAATTGGGCAAAAGCTAAAGCAAAAGCTATCGTTTAAAAGTTAAAATCTGAATAGTGCGCTCCAACTCACCATTTCCCAGTCATTTAGGTTCCAAATTTTGGAAAGTGCGCGAAAAAATTGCGTAACTCTTTGTCAAAAAAGATCTTTTTTTCCCGGTTACAGAAAGGGATTTGGAAATAGTCTCTTTCGAAAGGGTGAAAAGATGAAAAAAAAAGGGAAATTTCACTGTTGAAAAGAAAGAAAAAACGGTTTTTCGCAAATTTTCCCGCCTTTTTGCCATTTTTCTTCAAAATTTATCCTACAATACATTCCTATTCCAAATTTACATTAAGAAATCTCAAACATCGATCGCATCTAACCTTTTATCGCCTCAAGAAACGGTCTGTATCCAAAAACAGTCGAAAACCTGTTGCCCAGACGACCCAGCCAAAACTTTCTCCGTTTGTGTCAATCGAAATATGGAAATTATCTCGCTCCCCCCGGGAGCTATAATTTGTGCGTATTTGCAAGGCTGGGAAGCACATTTTGCGATACTAAAATTGTATCCCAGAATCGATTCTCATTTATTTCGGGAATACTGTAACGAGACAGGTTTTTACTAGAAAAGGGTAGGGTCAGCTCAGAAGTTAGACCCGTCTTAAGAACCTAGGAGCCGACTGAACATCCCTAGATCTGCCACGGTCATTTCGATGTACCTGACCTTGACACTGGACCCTTTAAAAGCCAAGAACTGAATCTGCTTCTGACGGGACTCTAGCCTACAAGCCTTTAAATAGTTGCTGACCTGGAACTGCTTCGATTCTAGCCTGCCCTGATCCTGGGGCTGGATTCGGCCAAGACCAGGCCAGTGACTTCATAGATCAGGCATATCTTGTCATTACCTTAAATAAATTAACCACCGAGTTTGTTACACAAAGAAAAAGCAGGAAAAGCAAAATCAAGATCTGACTTCAAGAAATGCTCCAGAGCCGAATAGTCTGTGAAAATTCAAAATTCAACGCAACATCTACACATATTTACCCACCAAATACACATGAGAGAACCAATCACACAAAATTCCACATTTTTCACCCAAAAAAATGCACAACGTGTGCAAATGTCAAAAATCCTCAAAAAGCACACATTCATGTAAAGAAAAACATTAAAAACAAAGTTAGCGCTTGAAACGTCAAAGGAAAACTTTAAGAAAATTTGCATATAGGGAGTTAAAAACACCTGTAACTATTAAATCACAAAATTTTTTGGATGAAATTCGCTCATTTTGGGTACGCATCGACGCTTCGTCTCCCTTTTCTCAGATTCGATCTAAAAATGAGAGCAAAATGAAGGAACTCTACTGCTAAAACTTTCCAAATCTACGACAAAATTTTCCTATTTTTAGCTATTAAAGCCTCAAAAATGACCAAAACGACCTCCGATTTATCTTTTAAACGATAGATTGGCCATGATAATCTTTTTAAACGCTACTCCTTCTAAATACACCTTTTCCCAGATGTTCATCAACGTTTGATGGTCGCTCGCGCTTCCATCCGTGTGCACATTGATTTGAATCGTCTGAAAATGGGGAAATGAGTGATTTAAACTGGCGTTAAATGCTGGATTGGGTACTATACCTTGTATTGACTTGTATTAACAGAACAGACTAAATGCATCGGCATTAGTTAGTACCATATCCAGCGGTCTAGTATCAACGAGAGCCAAGGCAATGCTTGGATGGATTTTGCCCTTTTTGCCCACTCACCTTATTCGGCTGTGAGTTCACTTCCATGTAAATCGTTCTCAAAAGTGCATCGGCGAATTCTTGGCTCAACGTTTCTTCTTCTTGAAAGCATGGACCCATCACCTAGAAAAAGAGAGTAAACTTTGATTATCCACAATGCTCACAAAATCCACGAGTCCCATCCCGAAACCCCTCGTCAATGCTCCACTGTAACCACCGCGTGCATAAGCAATCGTCGGCGGTTTGACACGAACGAGCGCGATCAAGAGAACTCAAAAGATAAGGATAAGCCGTTGTTAGGCCAAAAAACTCCCACCAATTCCTTGGGCATAATTATTCGCGACGATCACTTTAAGAAATGGGTTCGGAATCACGCCCAGCACACTATCTAACAACAAACGCTCAGCCTCGAGCGCGCGAATGACCGATTTTGAGAAGCGAGAGTCTGAACGGAAACGATTTGTGCTTACTCCCTAAACAGCCGTAAACTACTGTAGCCACACTAGAAACCACCGGGCCTAGGGTCTGTAAGCCAGACTCTGGCTCGTATTCAACCTAAAAAACCCTTACATGGTTTCCCATCCGTTGTCGCATCAATGACAACCCCCCGATATCCGCATGGCTCGAATTTGACAACGTCCTGAATGAGCTTCGTGGACCCTTGGAAACGAATCAGCTTCTCTAGAAAGTAAAAAAGTTTATCCAGGAAAAACAATAAATCAAGAAACCTTGATCGGCATCCTCGGAGCAAGCCTTTTGTGCCATCCGTTGTTTAATGATCTTGAAGTTGCTTACTAAAGATAAAAATTGGATACGGTAAAAGGAAAAAGAGATTTGGTTTAGCAATTCTCGAGCCAAAACCCAAAAGTATGCGGGCCATTTATCCGGGTCAAGCAAAGACATTGATTGATAAAGATTAAGCTTTTTTGTATCATTAGGTTCAGCTCGTCGAGTTTACAAAACAAGTCACAAAGAGCTGTTTCTATGAGTAAATTTAGAAGGGCTGGTCCGGGTCAATAGCCCGAACACTCTTGCTACATTCCCCCACTCACCCTCACTGAATCGTCGTCTCTTCAATGCGGGCGCTTGTTTCTGCGAATCGAGCGTGTCTCGTCGCACCAACATGCTTATCCCCATTTGTGTTTCGTCGTGCGAGATCTGTCGTGAGTTGTTGCCTAAATTTATTGCGATCAAAATACAATTTTTTTAGCTCACTTCCACCAAATGAACGAGGAGTACTTAGATCAGATGAGAGCAGCTTTCTCGACAGTGCTTGACCTAAAATTGTTGATTTTGTACAACAAAATCTTCCTACCATTTCCCCGTGCAGCTTGTGGTGTGATCGGGACCTTCAGCAGCTCGGTCGGGTCCCCCAAAGTGATGCGTCGAGAGCCAAAACCGTCATGGGAAAAATCTTCGAAAGTTGGGGTCTAAACAAACATTTAAAGTTGTCTAGAGGACATACAACTAACCGAAGTCTCGCCATGTTCGGGAATTGTCGCCGTCGTTCTTTTTGGTTGATACGTGCGCAGACGGGAGACTGGAGTTGTCGGTGAGTTGGAACTGAATGAAAAGGATGAAATTAAACCAGTCAACACTAGTAAAACTTCGCAGACGTGCAGTATTTCAATTACCGTAAATACTCAAATAGAACCCTCTTTATAAGAGGATCGCGTATCCTAACAAGGGAAGATCAACCCGTTATGGTGGCCTAATGACACGAACCATATACTATTCGAAGCTTGAAGTTTACTCTCAAACAAACGCTCATATCTCGAAACCAGTACGTTTGTTTCTGCGCGTTTGGGTATCAAATTAAAGTAAAGGGGATGGGTGATCTTTTGAGCTATAACACATATTTTTAACTTTAACCAGCGCTTAGGAAAAAAATTATTGAAAAGTGGTAAACAGAGCCGATTTGTCAATAATTTTTTTTCTAAACGCTGGTTAATGCTAAAAAATATGCCTTATATCTAAAAAATCCCCCTATCTTTCTACTTTAATTTGATACCTAAGTGCACAGAAAAAAAATGTCTCGGCGCCGAGATATGAGCTGTTTTTTTTGGAATGCAAACTTAGACTACGCTACGCTCCAATAGGAGGAGCTTCTATTAGAGTATTTCACTCTCTAATAGCTCTGGATACATGTTAGACAGGTCCAACGCCACCCAAAAGGTGTCTTTTTGCGCTCTAATAGCTCCGTATACATTTTGGATCACTTTCCACTTCCGCTCACCTATTGACTCGTCGCAAATTCCTTGTATTTGTCTTCGCGGATCGATTGATTGATAGAGTTGAGAAGGAGCGAGTGATCGACAGCTCCGAGTGCAACTTTGCGTCAATCCCTTCGCATATTGGTGACACGGCGCCGAGCTTCGGGATCGATTCGAATGAATTTTCTTTGTTCGAAGCTGTGCCCTAAGCCGATCGATGTCAAATTCATAAAATTCATCTTATCAAAACCCACCAATTCCTGATGCAACGATGTCGACGAGTTCCCATAGAGTATCGTGCGTAGATTCGCGTTTTCCTTGAACGGAGTCGGCAAACTCTCTCCAGATTTGAGACTCTAAACGAAAAATTCTTCGTATGGCAAGCTTTATGGCAGCAGCTATGGCAGACAGGTAAGCTATACACAGAAAAGTTATAACAAGGCTGGTTACAGAGTTAGAACCAGCTTAAGTTTATCTGAAGCTGACTAGTGCTGTTTTTGAGCTTAACCTCTGCCTTGCCCTTGAGCACAGCTTTGCCAAGCTGCGTTCGAGTTAAGCAGAAGCACTGCGAACGAGCTGTCGGATAAATTAGACTAACAATAGTATTAAGATATCCGGATTGGACAAAAATCCCCCCGCAAACCCACCGCTTCCTCATTGCTTTGCATCGAGTGGGTGGTATTGTTCGAGCGAGTTTTCTCTGGGGATCCCGGTGAAGTGATCACTGGTGGGCTGCTCGATTTGCTCGAGGATCTAAAGCAAAAGGATTTGATATAGAATTGAAATTCTTAACCTTCCAATAAGCTTTTTTGAATTAGAATTTTACTCTACAGCTCAATAAATGCTTATTCTACGGTCAGGCAAGGATATTTAAGATAAATCAACTACAAAACCTCAAATCTTCGACACTTTTCCAAGTTTCAGCACACAGTCAGTCAAATTACGTTCAAAATACACCGGAAGCGTGCTTTTTAATGTTTACTACGACATTTTGCCGATAAAACGCACTTGCTGACTCTTTTGAATCGTCCGAAAAACCCTTTAATTCCATACTTTCGTCGAGGTGGCCCGACCACCGACTTTGTCGTCACATCTTTTGTGCTCTAAACAAAGAAAACATTATAAAATTGTAGAATAAAGCTACTGGATAAAATTGGGAACAAATTTGGATAGGATTTAGCTGCATAAGTCGGTGATTAGCTTTCAAAATAGCGTCTCCAGGCCAAATCATAGCTTTTCGCGGTGTTAAAGTCATCCATTGACTCAAAAAACCGTCAAAATCTGGTTTTTTTTTATAAACTGCACACAATAAACAGTAAATAAACACAGATTTTAAGCAAAACCGCAAAACCGCACGTGCTAGGGTAAAATTGAGTCCTTTTTAAGTCGAATCATCGCTCCAATCGAATCATTGAGTCGAATCATCGCTGAAATTTGCAAATCTGCCGCAAGACTTCGATGTTTTTAAGCTAAAAGCTAAACAGCTAACAGCTTTAAGTTAAACAGGCGGGAGATGCAATTGGCTCAAAAATTGCACGTTTTTGGGTAGAATTTTATCGTTTTTAAGTCAAAACGCGCTAATTCGCGCTCAGAATCTAAAATATGCAAAAATTGAAGAGCTGATCAAAACGGTGCCGTTTACAAACAGCGCCACGGCAAAAATAACCCCTCCGCGGCTTCTATGTGTTTCTTATTCTTATTGGATGCAGGATAAAATTACCTACACTTTGCACACTTTGAGATCACTTAAAACAGAATTGATGTCGAGAAAAGCTCAGTTAACCCCTTTCCGTCTTTTTTTTGGCATTTTCCCATCCCAGATTTGTTCAAAGCGGTTCCAAAAATTCAGCAGATAGCTAATTTTTTTTCTACATCCAATGAAAATAAGAAACATATAGAAACTTAACCGCGAAGGCGTTATTTTTGCCGTGACGCTGTTTGTACACGACGCTGTTTTGATCAGTTTCCAAAAATTAAGCAAGATTTTGCTGTTTTCAAGCTAAAACACGCGCTAGAGATACAATTTGCTTAAAAATAGCACGTTTTTGGGTAGAATTTTATCGTTTTTGAGTCAAAACGCGCTAATTTCCCATTCAGAACCTAAAATCTGCAAAAAACGAGCAAGATTTTGCTGTTTTTAAACTAAAACACGCGCTAGAGACGCAATTAGCTTAAAAATAGCACGTTTTTGCGTAGAATTGAATCGTTTTTAAGTCAAAACGAGTTAATTCATCGCTCAGAAACTAAAATCTGCAAAAATCGATCAAGATTTTGCTGTTTTCAAGCCAAAATACACGCGGTGACTCGATTGGCTTAAAAATTGCACGTTTTTGGATAGAATTTTATTGTTTTTGAGTCAAAACGCGCTGATTCATCGCTCAAAACCTAAAAGCTGCAAAACTGTAGCAAGACTACGCTATTTGTAAGCTAAAATACACGCGGTGACTCGATTGGCTTAAAAATTGCACGTTTTTGGATAGAATTTTATTGTTTTTGAGTCAAAACGCGCTAATTTAACGTCAAAACAGAAAATCTGCAAAAATTAAGCCAGCTTTTGCTGTTTTTAAACTAAAACACGCGCTAGAGATGCAATTAGCTTCAAAATAGCACGTTTTTGGGTAGAATTGAATCGTTTTTAAGTCAAAACGCGCTAATTTCCCGCTCAGAACCTAAAAGCTGCAAATCTGTAGCAAGACTACGCTATTTTTAAGCTAAAACACGCGCGGTGACTCGATTTGCCTAAAAACTGACCATTTTGCAAGTAAAAAACACCAATTTCAGCACTTATCGTTCAAATTTTAACAAAGCTCACCGAATTTTTGGCCGTCAGATCCCTTGTTGAGTGCTTTTTTCCACCCAGCATGCCTAAAAATGAAAAATTTCAAGAAATCTTTAGTTTTAACAGTTTAAAATTGAAAAAAGAACAAGAAAACGATAAAATTTCAGCAAAAGAAAGCAAAATGGGGAGTGGGACAAATGCGATCTTTTTGTTTGCGCACCCTGACATTTGCGCACCTTTTTTTCCGCACTTAGCCCATTAGCGCACCTTTTGCGCGTTTTAAAGCTAATATTAAGCTCTAAAAGCTCTAAAAGCTAATATTAACCAATTTCTTTGGTTAATAACCAATTTCTATTCCAAAAGTTATTTTTCTAGGTAATTTTAGGGCGTAGAATCGAAATTTTGACATATCAGAGCTTTTGGAAGCGAACGGACGGAGTTATACAAAGAGAAAAATCAACAATTTTCTGTAATTTGATCTAGCCGTTTTGTCTTTCAAATTGGTTCCACACGCTCTGTTATGTCAAAATTTGAATTCGACGGTACTTTTCCAATATCGGGGGAGCGGAAGGATTATCGGGAGAGCGAAAGGAAAATCGGGGGAGCAAATTTTGGCAGCGCTACATATGTCCTATATTATACAAACTAGCGCCATAAAATCCGCGAATTACCCGTTATTCTCACAACCTTTATATTAGATTTATATTAGCGAAATAGATCTTTTCCCTTTGAGCGAACTTTCATCGATTCGCCACAATTGCAAATCCACAACTGGATGACTCCTTTGGTGACGAAATAATCGATTGCCGTCGATTCCTTGAACGCACAAATATCGGAGAAGCGCAACGTCGTTAAAGTTTGAAAAAAACGTTGCAGTTAAAAATACAGTCCCGGAAATGCATTTCCGGAACTGTATTTTCGAGGGGGCAAAATTTGCTCCCTCGATTTTCCTTTCGCTCCCCCGATTTTCCTTTCGCTCCCCCGATATTGGAAAAGTACCCACACGCCCTGTTATGCCAAAATTTCGATTCTACGCCCTCAAATTACCTAGAAAAACAACTTTTGGAATAGAAATTGGTTAATATTAGCTTTTAGAGCTTAATATTAGCTTTAAAACGCGAAAAAAGGTGCGCAAATGTCCGGGTGCGCAAAAAAAGGTCGCATTTGTTCCACTCCCGCAAAATGAGAAAATTTTAGGGAAATTTTTTATATATTCGCAAAGAGACGTCTCTTTGGGATACGGTAGTTTTTGGAAAACGGAAATTTCTTTACTTTGCCTTTTTTCGCCGTTTTCTTTGCTTTTTCTGTTGTTTTACTGTGTTTTTTCTTTATTAAAAACACTTTATTACGATAATTTATCCAAAAAATAGCATAAATCTCGATTTTCGACACAAAATTCCATCGAAAATCGTCAAAATGAGGTGACCCGTAGGCGTTGTTCGCGAAACTGGGCGCACTGTTCGATCAATTCGATCAAGTTTCGATCGGAAAGTGTACGCATACGTTTGTCCAGCGATCTGCAAAAGAAGCGAGATTTTGTGGGTACTGTACGATTACCTAAAAAAACGATTACCTAAAAAGTGCTCCCTGGAAAAAGCTACCGTAACCCAGAAAATTTTCTTCAAAATTTGTCGAATTTGACTACTGTAGCGGTACATGTGCCTTCCAGATTGGAGAAAAATAAAATTTCAGGACCACTTTCCTTAACCATTTTCTAAATAGTGCTTCCCAGAAAATTCTCGTTAGATTTTTTCAATCTGACTACTGTAACTTGTCATGTGCGCTCCAGATCAGAGAAAAATGCAGAAATTATCTCAACAGCTTCAGTGGATTGAAAGCTATAGCAATGATCGCAGTTCACTTGAAAATACTCGCCAATTTTCAAGTCATACACACTTCCGATTGCTCAATTGCTCAATCTGGAGCGCACACTACCGATTGATTAAGAAAAACGAACCTGTACTCGTCCTGTTCAAGGAGCTTTTCCGGATCCGCCAATTCTTGGGCTCTCGTCGGATAGGAGAGCTCTAAAAGACATCGCGTTACCGTATACCCGTCTAGAATTTGCATTTATGCTGTTACCCGATAAAGTCATTGATTTCATCACTGGCAGATGAAAAACGATCGACATGAAGAGCAAATCGAGGATCAGTGACGTGGCGAGGTCTTTTTTCTGGAGAAAAACAGGATAAAACTGTACAAAGTTCACGTACGTACCAGATTCAACTCTCCGCACAAATATCTCTCGCAAGCTCGTTTCAGCACCGGCAAATCGTTCAACTCGGCGTCGATGAGGAAATCGACAAAATCCTGGAATCATCCGTTGATCAATTCCAGTTTTGAAAAAAGAAATGGCTGATCTGGATGTCACGGTAGGCGTTAAAGTACAGATTTCGTTCACTACTTCACATTTCAAGACAGTGTCCAGACAGGTACAGGACTGTACTCTACAATACTCTACAGTAACCTCAATCTCAATTCCGAAAAAAGAAATGGCTGATCTGGATGTCACAGCAGGCTTTAAAGTACAGATTTTGTTCACTTCTACAAATTTCAGAATAGTGTTCAGACAGCTACAAGACTGGACCCTACAGTACGCTACAATAGCCCTAATTTCAATTCCGAAAAAAGAAATGACCGATCTGGATGTCACAACAGGCTTTAAAGCACATACTTCAATCACTACTTCACATTCTACGATAGTGTACTGTGTACAGTACTGTACTCTACATCTACAGTAACCTCCCCTCTAATATACATCAAAAGCTGCTGTGACATCCAGCTTGCTGATTCCCGTCAGCTAGCTCACCTCAACATACTCCATATGCGGTAAAACCATCTTGTTGAAGTACATGTTAGCCAAGAGCTAAAGTTTGTTAGGTGACAAAGAAAATTTCGAAAATTTAGCCAATCTGGAATGCAGGTAAGCGATTTAAAAAAAAATTTGATTAAAATATCGAAATTTTTGGCAGGTGGTTTTTTTCGTTTCGCGTTCACCGCATTTCCCGCTCGATTTCTTCACGTTTTCCCTTGTTTCTTTGTTATTTGCTCAAATTGGAATGCACATGACGAGCTGCCGGACTTTCAATCCCTTTCCACGGTAACTTTTTCAATCTCAAACCCCACATCATGTACATGTTCCTTATCTTGTTCGTTGCATTCAAAACTCTCCGGTTCCTCTTCGTCTTCATCGTCAGCGTCATCTAGAAATTGTAATTGATAACTTATAGGGTCTAGGATTAGATGTAGTGCAGGGGACCTGACCTAGACCTGACCTGGACCTGGACCTAAACGAAATTTTCAGGACTGGGCCTTTTTGGGCCACTTTTTGGGATAAATGACATGGATAAACTTTTTTTTGTAAGATCTGGAATACACAGGAAATTTTAAGCGACTCAGAAAAGAAATATTAGCATAAGTAATCATGGCCGAGTGGTTAGCGAGCTCGACTCCAAGTCTGAGGGTCTGGGTTCGATCCCCGGAGCCGTAAATGGGTTTCATTTTTAGAAATCTAGCTTTAGGATATTGTAACGTGCCTTCCAGATCGGAGGAGAATTTATTTAAGCACTAGGATTTACATATAAGTTTTCAAGGAAATCATCCAAACTCTAATCGACACGAAGGCAGTTGAATTGGAATGGCTGCCAGCTTGCCTCCTAGACTCGCAAGCTGTTCTGTGACTTCCAGATAACAGGAAAAATCATTGAATTATTGGGATTGATATGCGAAATTTTAAGAAAACTGATTGAGACGGTTTTTGGCAGAGAAAAGTTTTAGGACTGGTCGTTTTTAAGCGATTTCCTGGGGATAATAAAGTTAATGAAAAGCTTTTTATCCGATCTGGAACGCACAGAATCTAGAACTGGCTCAGTGAGTAATCCTCACCATTATCCGGCTCAGGTTGTGAGTCTTCTGGATTCGAAATCGCTGACGAGGCGCGTCGTCGCCGACACGAGTCACAACAAGCGATCAGTAGCTGAAAATTAGCTACAAAGCTGGCTAGCCCACAGTATGAACCTTTTTTAAACAAATGATCGTGATCGGGTGCTTGTGACAATTGATCGGTGATCGTTGCATTGGTCGAGCTCCTCCGCAACGAGATCAACGACTTTCGGCGCTCATTCTGAAAGTTGTGAAGCGATCGAAACTAATTTTTGTGCCATCTGGAACGCACGCGACAATTTGGATAGACTTTGGACGATGAAAAATGGTTTCAAATTAGTTGAAGCTCTACCGTACCCCAAATAGGCTACAGTACCCTGAGCCAGACCCAGAGCCGCGCAAGAACTGCCTCCCAGCCATATCTTCACTGGAATACCTTTTTCTCAGACGTGACTGTTAAAAATGGTTGCTCTTCCGCGTCCATCACCATCCTGAATCTCTCCTCGTAATCCACTTTCTCATGGCGGGGGATTTTGTTTGATTGATGTTGATGAACACTAGATTTTTTTATTGAAATAGCTAGTGTGACATCCAGATCGACGTCTGGTTTATAAACTAAACCAAATGCAATAGAAGGGGTGTGTTTACATGGGAGGACAAAGTACAGTCAGCCTGAGCATCGAAAAGTTTCGATTGGCTATCTATTTTTTTTATTGAAATAGCTAGTGTGACATCCAGCTTGACGTCTGGTTTATAAATTAAACCAAATTCAATAGAAGAGATGCGTTTACATGGGAGGACAAAGTACAGCCGGGTATCGAAAAGTTTTGTTTTTCGAAAAAACCTATTTTTTTAATTGAAATAGCTAGTGTGACATCCAGATGGAGGTCTGGCTTAGAAACTAAACCAAATGCAATAGAAGGGATGCGTTTACATGGGAGGACAAAGTACAGCCGGATGACGAAAAGTTTTGATTTTCGAAAAAGCCTATTTTTTTAATTGAAAAACATAGTGTGACATCCAGATTGAAGTCTGGCTTAGAAACTAAACCAAATGCGCCAAAAGGGATGCGTTTACGAGGACGAACTCGAAACTCACCGTTTCGTTCGTTTCTTCCAAACTTTACTGTTCACTCTTGCCTTGTAGTTGGCGGTGAGAAAAGATTCCTGAAGAAATTCGAAACCAAACCTTTGAAAATTCAAACCTGTGGCGTCGGTGTCGAGGCGTCCAAATAAAAAAACGGATCAAAAAGCCGCGATTCCATTCGGAGAGTCACCGAAACGCGCACCGAGTTCCCCACGTTTTCCTAGATTCAAATTCGATCTAGAGTCAATTAAAACGAATTTCTGTGTGATCTGGAACGCACACAACAACTTCCAAGTCCTTAGACTAGAAAAAAATGGACTTAAATGAAATTGATATTCTTGAATTGAGAATGCCGGAGAATTTGAGTAATCCTTTGAGATTTTACCTTAAAAATAGTTGCATTGCAAAAGCTGGAATGCACAATGATTGTAGAAAGCTTTTTTGAGTTGAAAATTTTAGATTGGAAATCAGTCCAGGTCCAGGCCACAACCCAAGAAACCCAAGAAAATAGCAAAGACTTTAAAGACTTATAACTTTGCTTAGAGATTCTATTATTCTTAACTTTTAATATCGTTTGAAAGAGGAGATTTCAGGCTTTCGAATGATACCAAAAAGAGCTTAATTCGATCAGCCAATCTCAAGAAAATGGCACTGGTTCAGTTGGCAATCGCTTCCAAAGCGCCAAAAGTTTCACTCGCGATTTTTCGTGATTCGCTAGCCCAATCAAGCTCTTTTTGGTATGATTCGAAAGCCTGAAATCTCCTCTTTCAAATAATATCAAAAGATAACAGTAATATAATCTCTAAGCAAAGTTATAGGTCTTTAAAGTCAATCACTTCTTCAAGAAACCCAAGAAAATAGCAAAGACTTTAAAGACCTATAACTTTGCTTAGAGATTATATTACTGTTATCTTTTGATATTATTTGAAAGAGGAGATTTCAGGCTTTCGAATCATACCAAAAAGAGCTTGATTGGGCCGGCTAATCCCAAGAAAATAGAGACTGAAAGAAGACTGAAAGTTTAGCGCTCCGGAAAAATTGCGTAATTGAACCAGTGCCATTTTCTTGGGATTGGCTGACTCAATTAAACTTTTTTTAGTGTCATTCGAAAGCCTGAAATCTCCTCTACAAAACTAAGCTATTTCTAAGTTGTTTAAACCAAAATCCACCATTATATATTCGGAAACGTGTGCCCGGTCAGCGTGTGTCATCTCGTGAGAAAGTCCCCGTTGCATTAGCATCATTTTGCCGAAAATGTTAGCGATCAAATGGGATTCTCAGGGAAAACTCACTCTCCTCAACTCTTGAACCGTTCGTTTTTTCCTTTGGCTCTTTCCCCGGATTGATCGAAATTGAGAATTTCGCGTTCACGTCAATCTAAAGATTTTGGATACGTTGAAAGTTTCATTTTTAAAAATCTAACTTTAGGATATTGTTACATGCATTCCAGATTGGAGATTAGTTTATTTAAACCCTAGGATTTGCATATCAGTTTTCAAGGAAATCAGCCAAACTCCAATCGACACGGCAGTTGAATTGAAATGGCTGCCAGCTTGCCTCCTGGTCGCTCAAGCTGTTCTGTGACTTCCAGATAATGGGATAAACCATTGAATTGCTAGGATTGATATGCGAAATTTTAAGAAAACTGGTTGAGACGGTTTTTGCGGGCAGGACTGGTCGTTTTTAAGCGATTTTCTAGAGATAATGAAGTTAATGAAAAGCTTTTTATGCAATCTGGAAAGCACAGAAAATTTTGAGATATTCAGAAAAGCAATATTAGCCTAAGTAATCATAGCCGAGTGGTTAGCGAGCTCGGCTCCCAGTCAGAGGGTCCGGGTTCGATCCCCGGAGCCGTAAATGAGTTTCATTTTTAGAAATCTAACTTTAGGATATTGTAACGTGTCTTCCAGCTTGGAGATTAGTTCATTTAAACCCTAGGATTTGCATATCAGTTTTCATGGAAATCAGCCAAACTCTAATCGACACGGCAGTTGAACTGGAATGGCTGCCAGCTTGCCTCCTGGTCGCTCAAGCTGTTCTGTGACTTCCAGATAACAGGAAAAATCATTGAATTGCTGGGATTGATACTCCACAGTACTCGAATTCACCTGGTTCACCGGCCCATCCACATAGTACAACTCGACAGCGACATAATTTGCCGGATCGGGCACATTCTCATCGGGATATGCTTCTGAGTCGATCTCCTCGTCAGAGCAGAGCTAAAGTGGTACAGAATGATTTAAAAAGTACAAAGTGACTGATTCCAATCAAGCCCCATCAAGTCCCCTCAAAAATCTCAGCCAATTCGCGAAATCATCAGTCAGCTTTTCTTTATTTAGCCGAACTGGACGTCACCGGTGATGCTAGATGGGATCAAGAGTTGAATTAATGGCTATTTTTTCAAGTATTTTTTGAGTTTTGAGTTCTCTCAAAAATCTCGGGGATTGTTGAAGATATTGAGTTGGTTTTTGTTTATTTGGCTGATCTGGATGTCACTAGAGCTGGATGTCGTTTAATCTGATGGATTAGACTTGTAGTTAAAAATTCAATACCCCTCCTGTTGTTCCATGGATTTTGAGACTCCACTGAAATGAAACATGATCGTAAACAGTTGCGAATTTCGGAGAAACATGCAAAATGACTGAATCGTCAACGGAAATCGTGCGCAGAGAGATCTGAAATAGAGATTTGCATTGAAAGGAGTACTGTAAACAGACTTAAACTCGGTATACTGTAGCCTGTAAAATGATACCAAAAAATCAACTATAACATGGTACTTAAACAAGTGAATTAGGTCTCGTGCCTTCCAGATAAGACTTCTCTAAAGTTTTAGCCCCGGCTCAATCACCCAACTGCCTTTTTTTTTCTTTCGGAGAAGAATTTACCTTAACCGGCCAAACATAGTTGAAGCTGATGAACTGTGGACCGGTGATCGCCGAGGAAAGAGGTTCACGGGAATCAGGCATGTCTGAAAAATAGTTTTTACAACATTTTACAAGTTAAAACTAGTGAAAACAAGCGTTTCTCTAGAAAATTTACAGGACTGGGCCTTTTTGGGCCACTTTTTCGGGATAAACGACATCAATAAATCTTTTTTCATAAGATCTGGAATACACAGGAAATTTTAAGCGACTCAAAAAAGAAATATTAGCATAAGTAATCATAGCCGAGTGGTTAGCGAGCTCGACTCCAAGTCTGAGGGTCTGGGTTCGATCCCCGGAGCCGTAAATGGGTTTCATTTTTAGAAATCTAGCTTTAGGATATTGTAACGTGCCTTCCAGATCGGAGGAGAATTTATTTAAACCCTAGGATTTACATATAAGTTTTCAAGGAAATCATTCAAACTCTAATCGACACGAAGGCAGTTGAATTGGAATGACTGCCATCTTGCCTCCTGGAATCCCAAGCTGTTCTGTGACTTCCAGATAACAGGAAAAACCATTCAATTGTTGGGATTGATATGCGAAATTTTAAGAAAACTGGTTGAGACGCTTTTGGCAGAGAAAAATTTTGGGACTGACCGTTTTTAAGCGATTTCCTGGGGATAATGAAGTTAATGAAAAGCTTTTTATCCGATCTGGAACGCACAAAAAATTTTGAGATATTCAGAAAAGAAATATTAGCAATTGTACCGGTGGCCGAGTGGTTAGCGAGCTCGGCTCCAAGTCTGAGGGTCCGGGTTCGATCCCCGGAGCGCGCAAAACTTTTGTTCTTTATTTTTTTTCAATGAAATCATCTTAAAACTGTTTGCAGACAATATAAAATGAGATATTTTTGTCGCTTTTCCATTTTTCTAGCAAAAAAAACACCTTATCGATCATTGAAATCTGTGAAAAATAGGAAAATTTCGAAAGCTTCAAAAAAATATTTTTTTGAGAGAATTAAATAGCATGCCTTCCAGGATTTCATTTGGAAATCGAAAATTCGAAAAAACTTTTATAGATGTCGTTATTTTTGCGCAAACTCTTTTCCCTGCTTTTCTGTGCTCTAACAAAGATCGGTTACGCGTTCGCAAATAGAGAAAAATGTGGGAAAGGGAGGGATTTTTAAAAGAAAAGAAGAAAAACAAAAGAAAAATAGGATTCTCGTCGAAATTTTTCGATTGTTTTCACATTTTTCTAACGACTTTAGTGTGAAAATGGAAGAATTTGATGGAAAGTTTTAGGTAAATGGGTTTCATTTTTAGAAATCTAACTTCAGGATATTGGTACATGCCCTCCAGCTTGGAGATTCGTTCATTTAAACCCTAGGATTTACATATAAGTTTTCAAGGAAATCAGCCAAACTCTAATCGACACGAAGGCAGTTGAATTGGAATCGCTGCCAGCTTGCCTCCTTGCCATCCCAAGCTGTTCTGTGACTTCCAGATAACAGGAAAAACCATTCAATTGTTGGGATTGACATGCGAAATTTCAAGAAAACTGATTGAGACGGTTTTTGGCAGAGAAAAATTTTGGGACTGGTCGTTTTTAAGCCATTTTCTAGAGATAATGAAGTTAATGCAAAGGTTTTTATGCGATCTGGAAAGCACAGTAAATTTTAAGATATTCAGAAAAGAAATATTGGCGATTGTACCGGTGGCCGAGTGGTTAGCGAGCTCGGCTCCAAGTCTGAGGGTCCGAGTTCGATCCCCGAAGCCGCTTTTGCTTTTTTGTTTTTTGATTTTTTAAGGCTTAAAAGTGAAAAAGTCAATAAAACATGGGAAATCAATGTAAAAATTTTGAAGGTTTAATGAATTTTCGGCCAGCAGACTCATCAAAAACGAAAAGCAACGAGATGAGACGCTTTTTTTTAATTTTCGAAAGAAAACATCAAATTTTTTTTGCAAATTCCATCTATCTGGAAGGCAGAAAAGCGAATGAAAACGCTTAAATCGATAAATTTCGAATTTATTGAAAGGCACTCTTAAATGCAAATTTTGGCCTCGATAAGCTGATTATTTCGATTGATCAGATCGAGCATTTTGCGGGAAACTCAAATTTGGAGTGCACAAGAGCCGCAAGCAATGGATTGGTCAGTAAAAATGGGAAAGAAAAATTTCAGTTGGTTGTAGTTGGGTAACTGAACCAAGTAAAAAACACAAAAATCAAAAACTGGTTTTAGTGTGATTTTAGTGCGCCAATTTATTATGTGACTTCCAACTAAGCGAAATATAAAATAACACCAGAATTGAGCTCATTTAACAATGTTTTTACAGTGACTGAACCGACCGAGCTAAAAACTTTTTTTTTTTTGATGAAAATCAAAAATCCGATTTCACCAATTTTTATTGTGCTTTCCAGCTTGACGAGCAAGAAAATTTCCATCAAAATCGGCGCATTCGAAAAGTCGGTAGCGCGTTGATAAGCTTTCGCGCGCATTTACTCCAGCCTGTAATCGATTTTCTGATTTTGTTTTAATTTTTGGAAATACTGGAAGTCATCCATTAAAAATCAATCAAAAGAATCCTCACTTTCCAATCATTTTCACTCTTCGAAAATGAGTATTTATTTTTTTTCATGCATCCACCCGAGAAATCGATAAATTTTGGATTTTCGTGAAAAGCTGAAAATTCCAATTTTCCCCGGATTATCCCGGCTTTCGAGAGCCAATCGATTTGAGTTAAATGGAGATTTGCGACAAAAGGATTACGGTAAAAGATACTCAGCCAACGGCTTTAAATGCTAATTTCGAGAGAATCCCAACTGATTACCAGTTTTTATTTTGTTTTTTTCAATTCAACTCCAATAGATTTCATTTCTGTGCGCTCCAGGATTTTTAAAAATCATCATGAAATTCTTTTGGCAGAAATTGGGAGCGAAATCAAGCGATGAACTTGATTCGCAGAACCAACTCTGCCAAATTGGCTGAATTTTCAATTCCAAATGCTTCATTTCGTGCTGTGCCATCCAGGATTTCTAAAAAACATCATGAAATTCTTTTGGCAGAATTTGAGAGCGAAATCAAGCGATGAACTTGATTCGCAGAACCAACTCTGCCAAATTGGCTGAATTTTCTATTCCAACAGCTTCATTTCGTGCTGTGCGCTCCATAACTAACATCTATCAAGATTCTAGATCAACAACTCTACTCTATCGCTGTCTAAGCAGCTCGATTCAATTCAACTCCCCACCCAAGTTTCCCTATTTCATCCAATCAAATCAAATCAAATTTCTAAAAAAACATCATGAAATTCTTTTGGCATTCTCAAGCCACCTTTAAACCCTAGGGAGTTCTAGATCATTTTAATCGCTTGTTTTTTTCTTTCATCATCTTTCATTTTTTGTTAACCATTGATAATAAATTTATTTTTAGGAATGGTCGAAAGGAAAAGCAAAAACAAAAGCGCAAAGTGATCAATTGAAAGTGATGATGAGCCCGAAATAGAATCAAAGAAAGTAAAAGAAGAAAAACTTTATTAAAAAACTTCAGGTTTATTTTATTTTGTTTCAAAGCAAATTTTTTTAGGAAAAAAACCTTTTCACGTTTTTCTTGTTCTGCACAAATGGTATTCAAAGGAACGCCGAGCGATTCAAAACGATTCAAAAGGAGTTGAAGGAGTGAAAAGGTTTCAACTTTTTTGTTTTGCGTTTGTGTTTCTTTTTTTTAGACTCAAGAATGCAAGAAGTCAAATCCTCGTAGAGTTCGATCATGTTCAAGCTGGGAAAGCTGTTGTGCTGTTCAAGCTGGGAAAGCTGTTGTGCTGTTCAAGCTGGGAAAGCTGTTGTGCTGTTCAAGCTGGGAAAGCTATTGCGTGCCGCTGTGCCGACAATTGAAGCAAGTCGAAAATCACATTGCTAATCGTCGTCAAGGCTTAACACAAAACAAACGCCTCTAGGTGAGTTTAAACTTTTTGTTTCTTATTTTTTGATTTACAGGGCCAAGTGGAATGAAATTGATTGATGAATTGATGACATTGATTGATGACAATTGATGATGTTTTGGAAAATACCCAAGCGCTTGGTAAAATTGGCGACGGAATCGATACTTTGGTTTGTTGTTGTTGCAAGCTTAAACTTTTTTCTATCTAGTTTCTTGTTGACCATGCGTACACCTCGAAAAGCTCTTTGACTCTGATGAAATCGATGGCCAATTGTTTCAAATTATCGTATTTTCTGTAATAGTGCAGGCTATAATAGTAGTGTAGTCTGTAATAGTAATGCAGTCTGTAATAGTAGTGCAGGCAGGAGGGCTGTTGAAAAAAATATTAGTCCAGCCTGCTAAAATTTGCTCTGTTGTTGTTTACTTTGACTTTCTTTGTTTTAAAAGCACACTGGTACAGTACTGGACAATGAAATATCATATTTGAAAAACAATCGTCACTTTCGCGCGTCTGTAACTTCCTTGTCTTTGAGTTTAAACTATTAGTGTTATGCATTTTCTGAAAGCTCTTTTCAAGGGCTACACAATGGTAATATTAATATTTAGAAATACGGTAAAGACAAGGGAGTTACAGACGCGCGAAAGTGACGATCGTTTTTCAAATATGATATTTCATTGTTCAGTAGTGTAGCTAAATGAGATGCTATTATGAGAAGGGACTATTTATTTAGTACTGACTAATATATTATGACTATTTAGTACTAACTAACATATTGTGCTTGCAATTAACTTTCTTGACATATTGCTACTACTTTCTTTTCGTACTTTTGGCACTTCTACTTTCTTTTAGTACTTTACCCGCCGCACATTTAAGCACTTGACTAAACAAAGGCTAAAACTATGCCTTTCTTAGTTTAGCTTAGCCTTTATCTACTATAATTTAATTTAAGAGTATAATTTAAACATTTGCCGTTTGCCCATAAACAATTTGCCCATAAAATCATTCTACTTGCACTAAAATTGACATATTTTTATGATGGAAAAAGATGCGGTGGCTATAACCCACTTCTTTTATTACTTTATTGATTTATTGATTTACGAGCATTTTCTTATTCTTTTCAAAGTTTGATTTTTTAGAAATGGAACTAGACGGCGATTCCGACAA